CACCGTCATCAAGGGTCTGAAGCTCGACATGGGCGGCGTGAACTTTGAGCAGCTCAGTAAGCTGATTGGATTGCTGGGAGAGCTGAAGGACTATGGTAACCTCGCCTGGCTCCTCACCATCCTGTGGGACAGCCGCGAGGCGCACCGCAACTGGCCTTCCTACACTCTTTCTCTCGGCCACCGTCTCATTATCGCTCGCTTCCAGATCGGCAAGTACAAGGACGCTATTCGTCTGGCCGAAGACATCACTTACAACTGCCGTCGCGTGCACGGACCTCGTCACCCCAGCACGCTTGAGATGTCGACTCTGCTGACGCAGCTGTACACCAAGGTGGCTACCAGCCACCAGAACCACAAGGAGCTGGCCAACCGGTACTACAAGAAGTGCGCTCAGGTGCATGAGGGTATTCTTCGTGCCTTCAGCGACCCCTACTATGCTGACTACGAGGACAACCTCGAGGCCAGTTTGAGCATCGATGGCTCGATGTACGGCGATGTGCAGGACAGCACCGCTGATACTGTTCCCGAGGCCCAGCGCGTTCGCCAGCACCTGCAGCTCTTCAAGCTGGCCGTTGAGCGTCTGGGTGACTGGCCCGGCGACTACCAGGACTACGTGCGTATGAACCGTGATGTGTTCGGAGCATACCTCGAGGATCTGAATGGAATCGAGGGTGTGGAGAAGTGGAACCCGAAGGCGTTTGGCTCTGGCAAGGCCTCGAGCAACGAGGATGTGTTGAACCTGGACCTGCAGTCTTGGGATATTCTTGATACCCAGGCTAGCCCTATTGCAGTTGAGCCCGAGGAGGAATTGTAATGATCATGTTTGCATGGGATTTAATGATTGGTTCTTGTTGTGATATTCTTGTCTTGGATTTACTTGGCTTTGGTTGATTCCCTCTATCAGTTTGCTTTCCACTTGCCTAACACCTAATTGACTGCTTGTGCGACGCTTAATATGGCTCTTGCGTAGTGTGTAACGTCTATAAATGCATCTCGTAGGCATAAACATAGTATATGGTGTGGATNAATGTAGGGGTGTCGTAGGAGGATATGAACAAAGATACATTAATTCATGTGACTAACTGTAAAAATATACTGAATCTGAGTCATGTTTCCACTAGACTACCTAATAAGTGAACTAACTATTCCTTTCGACCCGTAGCTCTCCTACTGCTGCTCTTCATCTGGATGTCCCTCGGGACGACCTTCATAGTGACTCTGCGGCAGATGGTTCAACTCATCCTCTTGACGATCGAGTTTATAGTTGGTCAACCAGAAGCCGGCAGCGCCGACAAATGCCAGAATTGCTACGACGGCGTAGTTCCACACCAGGAGCGGATCATTGGATAGCCCCACAAGTGCTTGTCCGATGGCGGACGAGAATGCGTTCATGAACAAGGCCACGGCTTGCACGAGGGAGCGCATGTTGCGCGGTGCTTTGGTGAAGGCGTATTCGAGCGAGGTCACCGATGCGAAGATCTCGGAAATGCCGCCCAGGATGTAGACCAGCGCTTGAACCCAGACGGATATGGGCGAGTGCGAGTTATATTCATCCAAGCAATAGTTGGCTTGTTTTCCACATTCGCCTTTCTGGTAGATGTAGTACTGGGTGACGGTGGCGGCGATCATGGATAGACCGGCGGCGATGAAGCCCGCGGTGATTCGCTTAAGGGGGGTGAATTGGATGCCGACCTTTCGGAGAAATGGGTATACCAGTTGGTCCATGATGGGGATGAAGATGATGAGCGAGAGGGGGTTGAGGTTGTTGATGATGTCGTTGGGAACTCCGCCCAGACGCATGGTAGCCGCTTGCGAGGTCAGATTGTTTAACATTTGGTTGTAGGCCAGCCCTAAAGAGTTAGTATTTGAAAGGGAACAATGGAGGCGTTAGATCATACAATACAGAGGGTACCACAGAAACACCTTGCATGCTTTCAGACCACGAGCTACCTCATCCACCCATTCATCATCGAAGGTCATCCATTGGGGTCGACTGGCACCCAAAGCACTGGGCTTGACCGAATCCCAGAAGGGAGTGGGGTTCTTCTTGAATCTGGCTCATTATCAGGAAATCATTCATAGTCTCTACACGGTGAGGGAAGGTACATTCTTGCAGGATTCAACGACCAGCGTCCCTCCATGGCCAGCTTCCATAGCCTGAAGGCCTGCAGGTACACAGACCCGGTTGGCTTAACCAGGTAGTACTTGTTGCGGCAGATGAACAATACGGTAGGGCAGAAAGTGAACATGATGGTAGGCAGGAGATACGAGAGCCAGAAGCCGACGTAGCGCTCCGCATATACCATACTCACTTGTCCAAGAATAGAGCCGATATTGATCATCATATAGAAGTACAGGTAGATGCGCGCGACGGTGGCAGCATGGTCGACAATGACGCGCTCTCCTGAAGGGAGGGTCTTGATGTACGGCCTGCTTTCCCGATATTGCTCGGCGATCAACGGTGAAATGTTTGATCTGATCCAGTTAGCAAGCCACTGACATGAGTTTATAGCGATAGCTCACTTGAAACCACCTGTTCCCACTCCCATGATAACCAAACCAATTGAGAAACAAGCAATGGCACCGTGTGGATTCTTAATAACAGGTGGGATGGCTGAAATGACGAGAATGGTATGTCCAAGCAAGGCGACACCGATCGAGAACATAATGGTGCGGAAGCGACCCCAGTACTGGTCAGCCATGTAGGCACCCATCAGGGGCATGATGTAGGACCAGAAAGAGTTGACTGACGGTCAGCAGCTGTTTATTTCTGATATATATGGCAACTTACACAAGGTCAATCCAGTGGAAGCTTGCTGTCCCATGCCCAAAGCACCCGGTACCAGATTGTCTAGGCCATGGGTCGCACCGGCAGATGAGCCTTCAGGAAGAGGACGTTGGATAAAGTTGACGACTGTCAATGTTAGCAGGGAACGGATTGGGGTAGTGATGTACGTACAAACTGCAGTGGTTCCATAGTAGGAGAAGCGCTCGCACAATTCCACAAAGGCCACAGTATAGGCTGTCCAGGGGATTTTGCCGGAGACGCGACGCAGAGTCCTCAGTTCATCCGGAGAAGGGAAGTCTTTCTGTAGAGCTGCATCGTCTTCATATGCGGCCGACGAAGTGAACCCCCCTTTCTCTGCTGTTTCACGAACCTCCTCAATCTCAGGCGAGGTGGCAGGACGCAGCTCGGATGAGATTCGGTCCCTCTTCTCATCTGGATGCGCATCATGTGCAAAGGCTGCCGACTTTGCAATTTCTGCCACTTCAGCAGTGTCTGAGGGGTTCATGATGGGCGCAACAAGGACAGACGCGCAGAGGGGAGAGAGAATGATAAAACGCGGTTGGGAGGGGTAAGAGGTCCAGGGGAATAGAGGTCTTTAAAATGGACTGGCCAAGGTCGCACAGCCGATCAGTTGTGCAGTGAATGAGAGCCTGAGCGGGAGGCGACCATTATCGCTTGTTTTGTGCCACCTCCAATCATGGAAGGAAGTGAACGCAAGTTGAGTTTTGGTGGAAGAGCCTACTTATCGGCTGGCTGTCCTCGACACAGTCGGGGGAAGTGAGGGTTCCTCCACGCCATATGGTGCCAAGATTCTGCCTTATCGCCGGTTGTGCAACGAGAAACAATTATTATTCATGTCCCCTCAGTGACCTGGGCACCCTCTCGGTCATGCTTTCCGGGGTATCAGCCAACGAGGCCGTGGCATTTGTCTCAGCTCAAGCTGGGCACTCTCCCTCATGGCCACCGCGATAAGGCCAGGAGAACAATCGGATTGGTGCGTGGGAGTTGAGGTGGCTTGGCAGGTCTTGGGAAAGGAAGTGGTTAATGTGGCACTGGCGGAATGTTAGGCTTGGCTGGCAGGCTGGGGTGCAACCTCACGGCTTGGCTTGACCGGAGGCACCAATGATGGCTTTGAGAGAATTGACACTGCACCAATCCCCAAGATTAGGATGTCAGGGTCCTGATGCCACCACGCGACCCTATCGGAGTAGCCCGACAGTCCCTTGCCTTGACTCATGGAGGGCCGTTGTTACACCATCTCGGACTTTAACCTCAAAGGGGCCAAAGAAGGAAAAAGTAAGAGCGGGAGCCCGACGGAGGATGCTAGTCATAAACGTGGAAATATACCTGTTCCCGCCACCACAGTTCTTGGTGACCTTACCTTTCTACGAGATGATACGCTGGAGGGGTCGTCCGGCCAAGCGATCATGTGCAAGTGAGAATTTTTATGCTGTCTAGGACAGTGTACATACACTCCCTGCATCTGCCGTCATTTTGGACACTCTGGAAAATTGTTATTGATGGTCTGACTATAGTAATCTCTCGAGAGGTCCAGAGGATTGCGACAAATTGGAACGGAGAATATAAGCGAGATGATGAGGTAAAAATAATATGGGGTAGCTCCTTGCTTCCCCGCATACCAACCGATGATCATTGCCGACCAGGGATTCTTTCTCAACCCAAAGAAGACTATGGGGTGAGACACGTTCTAGACTGCCCACGAAGTCGTAGGGGTTTGCAACGAGCCTCATGTAACAAAGTTTCTATCTCTATTTGTACCTGACCACACCCCTCTCAGATTCCATGTGGCCGAGGCTCGATGCATTGTGGAGATCCCTCAACGCTCCGGACCTGCCATATGATGATGTAGAACTGCTTCTCCACTACTCGCGATGTTTAACAATACCGCAAAAGACTTCTGACACTCAACAGCTACAACAGCGTGTAAAACTTTCTAAATGCTATTATTTTTATTATATACCATCAATCATCCACTGCCTCGGCGAGAAATTATGCGGAGCCATCGTGGTCAGCATTTTATCATACCTTACTATCAGTACCCTGTTTACGAGTATATGATTATCCAGTGCATTAGCGATCAGACCAATGGAGTGGGTGAATCATGGTGTAGTGCCTGCATAACGTGGTGGAAAATATGTAGTATCACCGGTTGGGAGATTGAATATAGATAAGCATTGAACTTTTATTTCTCCTATTCAATACATATGAGTCCATATTCATAGCCTGGATCAAGTCCCTTCACCAGATAATTTTCCAGCTTCATGGAGTCATCCCCCGGCCTCTGATCTTCCTTGCTAATCTTCCCACTACAAGCAGCTAAAAATGATAAAAGCAATCACATACAGGGTCGAAGTGGGGCAAGTAAAAAGAAAGATTATCGTGCCGGATAAGAGATAAATGGGTATCTATGACAATATCTCCCAAATTGTCGTTAGCGAATAGGAAGAGCAAGATGAGCGTAAAACTCACACAACAAGTCTAAGAAACGTGCGGCGGCGCCATGGAACAACAGCTTCTGATAATCTGGCGAGGGGGTTAATGATAGGAGATGTAGCATGTCTAACTGGACTGAGTAATTTGAGACCAATTAGATCTTGCTCTAAATTTTGTTCTCCTTGGATACACTACCGCATTTGCCTGCCCTCGGGGAATAATAATGGAATGTTTTCAAGGATGAGAATGATCAATTATCACATAATTATTAGCATCTAATTATAATGCGAAATGCTATGTCTTATCTACATCAATCATCACAGCGGTATATAGCTATCAGATTATACTCCAAACAAAGTAAACAAACCAACTCCCATGGCAATAAATGCAGAAAGCCAAGTATACGAAACATCCATGATCCTTGATGCCGTACTACTCGACCCACCACAGCATTTCCCGTTGTAAGTAACGTTGTTCATTTGAGCTGCGACTTCGAAGACCGAGCCTTGGACGTTGCCATCGTTATAGTAATCGACGAGGAGGAAGTTGGGGGGACGGTCCCATTTTGCTGTTACAAAATGGCAATGTTAGTATGTCGTCCTCTCGTATATGTGCTGTGCTGATGATGGTATCTCACCTCGACAATTGTTCGCCATCAATCCTAGACTTCCATACCCCGACACTGCATTTGTCTCATTGATCTGGGCGGTATCCGGAACGAGGATATCGATCCCCTCAAACACGATCTCAAGATTCAGATTATGGTTGATCATGTACATTCTCTCCTCGGCCTGCGCAGCCGTGATCCCTGGGGGCCGCTGCACTGTGCAGGGGAAGGAAGTATTCAGCGGCGAGAAAGGCGTCTCCCACATCTGAGTGAACTCGTCCAAAATGTACGGGATAGCAGTCTGATTGGCCTGATAGTCCATGAAAACGACAGCGCGATTACCTTTCAAGATCATCTCCGATAGTGTAGGCCAATCGTCCAGACTCATAGGGATTTTCCACGGCTCGTACACGTAGTCGATGAGACCGGAGTTCTCGATGGGAGCGGTAAAGTTCCAGGGCGAAACGTAATCGGAGTTGACGATCAAGATGGTTACAACATCGTAGGGATTTTCCTTCATCCAGTCGGTCACGGTGGTGAGGTACTCTTCTAGGGTGCCCATGTTTAGGAGGTCGCAGGAGGTGTGGCAGAGGTAGATGTCGTTTTCGTAGTAGTGGGCTTCGAAGGATACTGGGTTGTTGTTAGTGGTGGATTGCTAGTGTCGGAAGGTAGTCCTTACGCATGCGCACTCCATCCTCCAGCTGCGTCTTCACCTTGTACATCTGATTCGCTGCGATGTTGTTCTTCTTCACGAAAGGACTGTTGTGTGCCGTGACCATAGTAATGTTCGAGTATTGTCGGCTGCAGAACTCGGTGTAGCCATTGCAAGGCTGCGAGTTGGCTGGCTCGGTCGCAGTGGTTGTCGAGGTGCTACTGGAGTTGCGTGTGCCGGTGACCACCACATTTGTATCCGTAGTCGTGGTGGCAGTGGTGGTGCCATTGGTAGAAGTGGTTGTATTTGCCGCGGTGGTGGTGGTGAAGGTCGTTTGGGAGACGCTATCTCCGACCGTGATGGTAGTGGTGTAGCTGAGATAACTACCGGTAGGAACGGCAGCAGCAGTTTCGGTGGTCACGACAATAATCGAATCGCTATCGGTTCCTGAGTGAGTGGACGAGGCAGATGTTGTAGAGGCATCGTCGGTAATGGTGGTGACTTCGCTCGTGCTCTTGGCGCCCACGTGGATTCCCCGCAGCAACAGGAGAATCCAAAGATATGCGATCGCGAGCATCGTGATGGTGAAGGTGCACGCGGATGAGGAAAACAGATCAACCCTAAAACATCGCGGCCTCACGAGATTTTATTGAAAGATCTTCTTTGCCACTGAGGCTGCCTCGGAGCCGATCTCTTGGCCAATCCACAGATTGCGCATCCCCAGATCGCGGAGATTCCAAAAGTGAGTCTTACGGGTGACGTCGGCGGTGCCGCGCAAGAAAAGCTTGGCTGGCTTGGTTCTTTCTTATTCTCCCGCGCAGCCCAAATCCATCCCAAGCAGTTGCGGATCGTTTGCAATCGCTGGCAGGCTTTCTACGTGTCTGACATCATCCGAAATAGTTACACCAATTGTTATTAGCCCCTATGCCTGGCTTCGTCTATTCAGAAAAGGTGAGGGTACCTGACCGCGAATCTTTCTGCCTAGGGATGTGGTCCACGGTTAGTCCGCGTTTGCTGCAGAGTCTTTTTCCGGTGGGACCAACCACCAATCCTTCTTCGCGCATTGCAAGCCTGACAGAAGGAAGCATACTAATGCAAATTACTTAGGCATTGTTCTACACTGACGAAGACTAACCTCCCATTATCGATAAGTCAACTGATTCGCTGTGCTGCTAAGCCACCCGTAATCATTGCTGCGACACGTTCAGGAACAACAGTGCTGAAAGGCGTGGCACCCATCGGCGATCGGCTGTGCCAAGTCAACCGGCGTAACTAATCATCTACTCCTGACTTCCGGCCCCATCCTTTGGGTTCGGACACGACACATCGCTTTCATAGCGCTCGCCAACGGCGAACTCGTTTCATAATCGAGTGCTGCTGCAAGTGGCGTCCAATTACTAGCCCAGGTCCTATTGCATCTATGCGCCGGGCATTATAGAAGCCAATGGCATCACGAAGGCGCCTATCGCATCCTGATGCCAAGCAACACCTGAAGGACACGACGGGCTAGATCCGTGCCGGATGACCCGGCAGAAGATGAAGCCGTGATAGTCAGGCAGCTGGATTTCGCAATTCCATTTATGAGGGCGTCGCTTCGAGAATGCCATGTTATCGCCCCATTCGCAGGTGGGTCAGCACGACGGCGGCTCGTCCCTTGTGGCCCCTGGCGAAGTAGCTTCATTTGAGAGCTCCTTTTAAGGGGCAATGCCCCCTATCTTTGTAGTCCCTTCTCCTGACATATGCACGTCCTGTACTTGTCATTCAGACACACAAAATGTTCGGCAGTGGCTTGATGTCGTGGCTGAGGCCCTCCGAGGCCGTGCCCGAAAGCAAATGGAACCCTGAGACCCTGACGATGGAGCAGCCTGCTAGCCCGTCCGGTCCCTCCATGGAGCGCGTCATTACTGAGCAACCGGTATGCTGAAATATCCGTAAAGTCGGCCATGGTCCTAACAAGAACAGCGCACCGGAGAGTCCATGCAGCTGCAGATCCGCGGTGGTGGTGAAGGAGAAGTCTGCTGTGGAATGTAAGTCTTCTGCGTCCAATGAGGGGATGGTGCTAACTGATTTAGTTGCGCTGGTGTCTGCTGTTTTGAATGCTGCGAATGCTGCTGCGATTGTTGCGGCGACGACGGCCCGGATGGTCCTCCCCCTCCTGGCCCGCCCGGACCTCCATGAGTGAACAATGATTAGACTTGGAGAACGTGGTCTCCGATTGGAAGTGGACTATCTATTTAATAGTATTGCCAAGGCTTTCTGATCGGCAAACATATTGTCCTCCCGTGGTGACTGGTTTCTCGCCTGATGTGAATAGTGATTATCAATTTATACCCTTCGTCAGCACTGATTGAATAAGAACTTACCTCACATTGCCCTCATTTCTATGCTGGAACCATGCACCTATTTTTAAGCCATCCGGCCGATCTTACTCACGGTATGGGCTGACTTTGTATCACAACCCATACCTGTCGACCGTCTAAAGTGGGGTCAGTGACAAGCATGATGCCGGTCAGCATCATCAGCTCAACAAATTCTAGCCAACAACGGAGATCAGTGGTCCGACATTTGATGTAGAATTAAACCCGCACACGTCGGAATGGCTTCATTCTCGGTCTTAGTTTCCCAATCGAAGCTGGTTCAGCGCCCAGACGCGGAGCGTGGGGGTGGGACCCCGGATTTTCCCCCACAACCTTGGCTGTGGTTGGCACTTTTTCATTAGCCTCCATCCTGTGCGCAGATACTAGAGAACTCTACATCATGCCATCGAGGTTTGTTAGTTAGATTTGTTAACTAGCTGAGCGGTGTAGGTGCATGCCGTACGGTGAGTTTGTCTATCTTTTGTATAGCCGGAAGCCGAAGGTACCCCGCGTCATGGCTATATAAGGCTTGTATATCCCATGCTCTGGTAGATGGGACAACAAGAACGGCGATCCGATAGAATCATGGTGCAGGGTGTGGCTTTTGGACTGCTCGGGCTGGCTGCCTCTGCTTTGGGCACTTATGCGCCCTACTACGCGAATTTGACATGGGAGCAACCACGGACTCTGTCCAACTGGTCCAACCTTACCGTCGAGACACGGACAGGGACGTTCATTGGTATGCTCAATGACACTTACCCAGACGTTCGACAGTTTCTGCGAGTTCCTTATGCCAAGGTAATTCTCTCGCTGTACACATGTCATACTGTGTCTGACATGACCAGCCTCCTATTGGGGATTTAAGATGGCTTCCTCCTCATCGGCTTGACAACTCAAGCAGAACATATGACTCCACCTTCTATGGCCCAGGTAAGTAGTCTTCCATACAACTATGAGCAGTTCCAATTAACCCGAGTTCAGCCTGTCCGCAGTATGTTCCAGCAGAGAGCGATTTTTGGAATGAATATGAACCGGAGAATTTGCTGCTCAATGTCGGCGAAAGGCTCAACCAGGGCTCTACGGCATGGTCCTCGTCAGAGGATTGCCTGTCCCTAGCGGTATGGACTCCATCGTATGCTAATGAGACATCCAAGCTGCCAGTTGCGCTGTTTGTCACGGGAGGTGGTGGCATCACAGGGGGTATCAACATTCCGTCCCAGCTGCCCTCTGCTTGGGTATCTCGCTCTCAGGAGCATATCGTTGTTACCATCAATTACCGCGTCAATATTTTTGGCAGTAAGTATTTGCTCTATATTTGCAAATATTAGCCTGACATGTATAGATCCCAAATCGCGTGCGTTGAATGATACGTCGCTTACGCTGATGGACGTGCGCGCTGCTGTGGAGTGGGTATATGAGAACATTGAAGCGTTCGGTGGTAATCCCGAAAATATTATGGTCAGACTACAAGTTTCCTCTCACATGACTAGAGCTAACAGTAAGCAGCTATGGGGACAGTCACAAGGTGCTTTGCTGACGCATCTGTACACCCTCGCATGGCCAGAAGAGCCTCTTGCCGCCAAGTTCGGCGTCATCTCCCAAGGAGCATCTGCCACACTCAACCTCTCTACCACGCCCGATGTGTACCAAGACTTTGACATCGTGGCCAAGGGACTAGGCTGCAATTATGGTGATGATGCCGAGGCCGAGCTGGAGTGCATGCGTGGGATTTCCTGGGTGCAGATCGAGGAGTATATCAACCGCTACAATAGCTCTCCTTCTATTGCTTTCACGAACTATATTCGTATGTACCCATCTTGCTCTTTTAACTGCCCCTACTAACAATATCAGCCGATGAGAAATACATCTTCTCCGACGAAAGACAGCGTTACCTTGAGCGGAAGGTTGCCCGAGGCCCGTCAATTCGATCTGACACGGCGCGAGAATTCCCTAGCACAAACACGACCTCAGTAAATATTGAAGAAGGCGAATCAGACTGTCTGGCAGTGACTGACCTTGCGCTACGTGCGTCCATTGGGCTCGAGACCTATCGCTACTACTGGGCTGGTATGTCCAATGACTTTCCATACTGAAGATAGTGCTAACATAAACAGGCAACTTCTCCAATATCAGTCCCGTACCGTGGCTAGGAGCATTCCACTGGACCGACCTGCTGATGATCTTCGGTACGTATAATCTGGACGTCGGCGAGATCTCGCAGTTGGAAGTCGACACCTCTGCCACGATGCAAGATTATCTACTCGCCTTTCTGAAGGACTCATCAACCGTCAGCGAGACGGTCGGATGGCCGTTATATCTGGGCAACGAGACCAACGGAGGACTCATCCTGGAGTTCGGTAACGGCACAGCAGTGCGGACCATCACAGGTGACTGGCTCGACGCGGGATGTTTCAATTCATCTATCCCATTCAGAATCTGGGGGTAGCCTATACACACCATCATCAGAGTAGTATATACATCATATCCACAAATCCATCTCCACCTATATACATAAACCCCAACTGAATCTACAACAGCGCCTGGTCCTTCTTCCCCTCCCCCTCTTTAATTTCCCTCGCCTTCTCCCCATTCATCTTGGCACTCCCCTCTAGCCCATATAGCACATCCGCCGACATCCCGGGAATAACCATCTCAAACGTATCCTCAACCACCGCATACTGAAAATACCCACACCTAGCAATCGGCTTCGTCTTTCTTACATCCAGAATTCCATCCGTAAGCACCCTTTCATCAATATGTACGCCCACCACTCGCCCCACCACAACATCCACCGTCCCCATGGGCGGATTTCCGGGCAGTCTCATTGTAGAATGATACACGCACTCGAACCGCACCGGCGACTCCTTCACCATCGGCACCTGCACCGGAAGAACAGTAGATGGTTCCGCGGTCAGCCCGGCCTTCTCGAACTCATTCACTCCGTAAGGAAACTGCTGCGCCGTGATATTCATCGCTTCGCGCAGGTCATAGGTCGCAAGGTTCCACACAAAGGAGCCGGTAGATTCGGCGTTCACGACAGTGTCTTTTCGGTCTCCTGACACAGTCTGATTGCTGCTGAAGAGAACGTAGGGTGGGTCGAAGGTTAGGTTTGTAAATTGGCTGTAGGGGGCGAGGTTGGGGGTGCCGGTGGGAGAAGTTGTGCTTATCCAGCCGATTGGGCGGGGGACGACGCATGCCTTTTTTTTTTTTTTTTTTTTTTTTTTTTTTTTTTTTTTTGGGTCAGTACTATTAGTGTTTGAGATTGAGTTTGAGGGAGATTGTGGCGTGGTGCTGGTGCTGGTGCTGGTGTGTAATGTGCGAGGTTAAGGTGATGGTGAGGGGGGAAGTAGATATGCGGGGTAGATCATTGAATGAATCATCGGTCAATTGGAGTTGTTGTTGGGGAATCAACTAATCACCTTGAATGGATCATGGGGCAGGCCGTGGTCGGTTTTGCCGGGTTGGTAGAACATCTTCTTTGAGTAATGTTTCTTTGGAAGATTATCCTGCTTGAATTGAAGCATGCAATGCAGTTGGGCGATGTTATCATTTTATAAGCTGCCCCGGGAAGACGGCACGGCAAAGGAATGGTACTTTGTACGGCTGTCCAGACCTGACCCGGGTTCCGAGAATGGTGGGGAAAATGAATGCTGTTTTGCTGGGGGAATGGCGATCCCCGAGATGCCCGACTACCGAGATCTGCTGATAGATGTGCAGGGGAAGGGGGACATTACTGCTAGTTGCACAGGCATGGTATTCATTGAATTAATATTCCTCAATAAATGTGGATAAGTCATGTGTTTAAACGGGGAGAGGGTTGTTTGTTCACTGTACTGATTAAGACCATTTCGGGTAGTCTTATGCAGCCTACTAAGTACGATTTAGGAAGTCTTCTAGGGAGTCATCTTCATGTAAAGCAATTGCATTCTAGCCCAAACACATACGTATAGACGAAAACATCTGCCTCTCAGTGTCTACCCTTCTTCTTGTTCTTGGTCAACGCCTGACTACTCAAAACCATGTCCGACGGCGGAGACGTGAAAGCACACAACCATTGAACATCAACATCCTCGTTATAACGCAGCAAAAACTGCTGCAGCCCCTCCATATTTGCGTCAAATTTGTAAATGTTTGGCCCGTGCGAATTCATAGCTGCACCGATGAATGTATCAACGAAAATATACCAATTCTTGATATCCTCATCGCTGTAGAGCTTGATGTATTCGCGCACGAACACCAAAGTATTGCACTTGGGACCAGGCCACTGCCAGAATTTCCAGTTACGGAAATTCTCCAGGCCAGAAGACGAGCTCAGGAACTGATGGAGGTGATCGAAGCTAGTGGCTAGTTCCAAGCCGTTGATCAGGGCCTCTTTGACTTCTGGATTCATCTCCTTCGTTGCATCGTACTCACGATTGGCATTGTGTAAGTCTGGGTCCACAAATTCCTCGATAACGTCCTTGAAGTGGATGATGGCACGAACAACGCTCTTGAGTTCCTGTGCCGTCCACATACCCTCCGCTGGCATGAAGTAGATTTGCAGCGTGTCCATGTTGTCGCTCTCCACTTTGAACAGTTTATCCATCGTTTCGAAAAAGTAACCCATGTATTCCAGAGCACGGTCACCACTCATGATGGGGCTTGTTATCTTGGTGTTCCCTGGTCTAGGTTAGTATACGAAGGCATAGAGGGTAAGTAAAGAAAGACGTACAGTAGGCATCCATCCTCGGTTGAAACATGGAGTTTATTGGGTTATAGTCCAGGGTCCAGTTCCTAGGGTCGGCTCCTTCCTTCTTGTCATAGAGACTGAGCGGTCTCCCAAACCCTTCATTCACCTCATTGTAATGGTTAATCAGGTATTGAGCAAGTTCTCGGGCACTGTCGAATCCTTCCCTGGAACCCCTGGGCCAGAGGCTTCGGAAAAAGCAAATAGAGTAGCACAGCATCGTGTACTATGGGCGTCGGTAAGTATGGGTAAAATGCTTCGAAGAGTTGGAAACTTGAAGAGAACAGGAATACGACTGAATCTTAGAACATTATGATGATTTGGAAGAGTAGCGTGTTGGTTATATATGTCTGATCAGCTTTGCATTTTGAGGAGGACAGTATTGAAGCATGATTGTGGTTATTGGCATATCCCGTAATGCTTGAAGTCGTGTTCATCCCCAAATGCCATATTTGCATCTTGGTGTAGGTTTAGAGGGCTCTCCAATTGTGGTTAATGCACAAATGTGAGACATCAACGGCAAGAACATAGAGAAGAGCGGCTCTATGCTATGGCAGATAAGTGGCCGTAGCTATCCGTGAGAATGACTATATATTGTATAGGATTTGCTGTCGGAAGTTTCAACTAGGATGGTGGATAATAGAGTTCATTAAGAGAGCAAAGGCTATTCTGACTTCTGATGAACCTAGTCTTTGTTCAGCTCGGGTCATACAGCTTTGTTCTCCCCAGATCTCGAAACTCGACCCGAATCAGGCCAAGGGAGTGCAACCACGCCAAGATTATTCTGGGCAAACACATGAGCATTAAACCTTCAACGATAAGGCAATCTGTCAGTTGCAAGTAGTGTGCCTTGGCTCAGTCGCCATGTCAATCACCCAGAAACACCGTCATCCAATCTATTTCCCCGGAATTGTCCATTATACACTTGATCGTTGAGGGTGCCTGATTATAGCTCTCTTTGTCTCTTCCGTCTTTTTGTATGCACTTCTTTATCCATGGTCTTGCAGGGCTTGATTGAGATCCGTGTGGGCTGCTAGCTTGCTATGAGGTACGGACCACAATGCAGAGAGATATAAATATAATTGCAGACCGCAGGTAGTGTCATCTTTCAAGGCAAAGACCAGGCAATATTTAGGCAGGTACTATGGGTGTCTTGTTCGATGTCTCTATTCGAAATCAGGATTGTATCGTTGTCTTCACCTACCATGTTCTTCATACACCGCGCAGGAAGGAAAGAGATGATCAACTTACCATTTCGTTCATCCTTTCCATTCTGAGATGACGCTCATGAGGCACACATTCTGAGCAAGGCTTGCCATGCACAGGTCAACTGTAAATTCGGGTATCTCTTGCAGATCCTCCTTGTCGATATACGTTGAGGTTCCATTGATTAACGTGGGCAGATCATTTAGAACGGTCTCGATCACGATGTCTCGAAGCCCGCGATCCGTCTCAATCGTTGAACAGTAGACTTCATTCACAGTTGAACGGAAGAACAGTCTGTCAAGGTCACGCAAGAAACACTCTTTGAAATGCTCTTTTGCCTTTTCTTTGAGGTCCTGGATCTGGAAATATTCTCCTTGCTCGTACATATGGACATGAAATTTCGAAAGTCCACCATTTGCCCCAGATGACAAGGTAGTATGTGGGAAGCTTCGAACGATCGGACTGGGGATGGGGCTGGGATGGCCAAACTCCACTGTAGGAGAGGTGTCTATATCGCTCAGTCTGGTGTAATCTCCTTTGCAGAGAAACTGTAGGGTCTTTTCAAGATAAATGGGCTCAAGCTCCTCTATCACAATCTTTCCGGAGGATTCCTGAGTTAGGACGTGCATGTGTTACTTGCGTTCTCATTATTCTAGAATCGAAAAACGGCAGAAACTTACAATGAAGCTGCTATTGCACGCGCGAGAAAAGTACCCAGATTGAGGGCACACGACGCATTTATGGGCTGGGAACACAACATCCCCGCAAACGATGGTTAAGTCGCTCCATGTAGAGCTTAAGAAGAGGCTAGTGGACGTGAGATGCTGTCGATAAGGATACGAGTCGTACTTACTCTGAAACGACTTTAGTTGGCCCCTGTGGCCTAACATCCACGCTTGAAGATGACATCTTGTAGAGAGAAACTTGCCGCTAATTGACGGGTGTTATATCAGTGCTCGAGAGATGTAAAGGAAGGAATGAGAAAGGGGTGAGAAGAAAATGGGAAGAAGCTGAGGTCGTATCTGTTTGGCTTGACAATGTAAAGCGCATATGACGGCTATTTCCTGAGTTAAAGTGATAAACCTGGTTGTTGTGTTAGTGAGCAAACTGACAGCATATGACCAGTACGCGTAATTGATCAATGGATGCAAAGAGTACACAAAGAAAATGGATTGAGTTGATTGGATCCGACATCCACAAGGCAAGGCCAGAGTCAACCTTTTAGCCGTCTCGTTGTACAGATACACTTCAGATCTAAGTGAACTCTTTTACCTCCTATTTTGTATCAAGATTTGTGTGCAGGCTCTTGATGCAGTTATCGAAGCAAATTCCGAGATGTAGTCAACAATCTCATAATACTAATCTGTAGTCTTCGTTGTTGCAGTGAAGGGTTTGCGATTGACCAACATCATTTCCACCAAGCAGTCTTTGTCTGAGCTTCCACTCGTGCTTGGTAGTGGAAGCATACCCTGACATTCATTATGACTTCACTTCTGCTATTTTCTGGCGATCAGATACTAGCCAAAGAGCTGTAAAATGCAAGCGACGCAGAATGCTCACACGGGTCTCTAATATATACAAATTATAAGCTAGAATTCAACACAGGCGAAGATGCTAACGCACTCTGGGATATCTTCTGTTTACTTCTGAACTGTGTTGCCGGAAGAAGGTGGTTCCGGATCCGATGGCAACACCACCACAGCATACACACAGCTACAAGCAACTTGATCGACTGCTACTCTTCTAAATCTTGCTTCCGTGTTGCATCGTGCATCCCCTAAAACACTGTGGGGCGGCATATTCAACGTTCTTCAACCCGGTTGATCCGTACCGCCAATCCCTGTAGGGAACAAGTCCACATGGCGAGCTACCGAGACCCGAGCCCGAGTTCCGAGTACCGACCCAAAGTCTACATGTTGAAAGTTCCAGATCATGAAGGCTACTTGTCAAAGCTTTTGAGGCAAATCCGATTTAGCCGGCGAGTATCAGCATGTCTGGCTATAAATGCCCTCGGAGGGGAAGGCTGGTTTGCGAACAGTCCGTTCAATCTCCCTAGAACATCACTACACTAGTATCAATCAATATGTCTGCGCAACCTGCTCACCTGTGTTTCCGCTCCTTCGTCGAAGCCCTCAAGGTCGACAACGACCTTGTTGAAATCAATACCCCAATTGACCCCAATCTCGAAGCTGCTGCTATTACCCGCCGAGTATGTGAGACCAACGACAAGGCTCCTTTATTCAACAACCTCATCGGCATGAAAAATGGCCTCTTCCGTATACTTGGGGCTCCTGGCTCTCTCAGGAAGTCGTCTGCTGATCGCTACGGCCGCCTTGCTCGTCACCTAGCCCTCCCACCTACGGCCTCAATGCGTGAGATTCTCGATAAGATGCTCTCCGCCAGCGATATGCCTCCCATCCCTCCGACCATTGTTCCCACCGGGCCATGCAAGGAGAACAGCTTAGATGACTCTGAATTCGACCTTACCGAACTCCCCGTTCCTCTTATTCACAAATCGGATGGTGGTAAATACATCCAAACCTATGGCATGCACATTGTGCAGTCTCCGGATGGAACCTGGACCAACTGGTCTATTGCCCGTGCGATGGTCCATGACAAGAACCATCTGACCGGCCTGGTTATTCCCCCTCAGCACATCTGGCAGATTCACCAGATGTGGAAGAAGGAAGGCCGCAGTGACGTTCCCTGGGCTTTGGCCTTTGGTGTCCCACCCGCTGCCATTATGGCCTCTAGCATGCCTATTCCCGATGGTGTCACCGAAGCTGGGTACGTGGGAGCTATGACGGGATCCTCCCTGGAGCTTGTTAAATGTGATACGAACGATCTATATGTCCCCGCTACCTCAGAAATCGTTCTCGAGGGCACACTCTCTATCAGCGAGACAGGCCCAGAGGGACCTTTCGGTGAGATGCATGGTTACATCTTCCCCGGGGATACTCACCTCGGCGCCAAATACAAGGTTAACCGGATCACCTACCGCAACAACGCCATCATGCCCATGTCTTCTTGTGGCCGCTTGACGGATGAAACGGTAAGTTTAGTCCCTGTCCTGCCATTTATAGCCAAGGACTAACACGGTCTAGCACACCATGATCGGCTCTCTGGCTGCGGCGGAGATCCGTAAGCTCTGCCAGCAGAATGACCTCCCTATCACTGATGCCTTCGCTCCTTTCGAGTCTCAAGTTACCTGGGTTGCTCTGCGGGTCGATACTGAGAAGCTACGTGCCATGAAGACAACGTCTGAGGGATTCCGCAAGAGAGTGGGAGACGTCGTCTTCAACCACAAGGCCGGATACACCATTCATCGTCTGGTGTTGGTCGGTGACGACATTGATGTCTATGAAGGAAAGGATGTGCTCTGGGCGTTCTCCACCCGTTGCCGTCCTGGTATGGACGAGACTTTGTTTGAGGATGTTCGTGGGTTCCCCTTGATTCCGTATATGGGACACGGGAATGGGCCCGCCCACCGCGGCGGAAAGGTTGTGTCCGACGCTCTTATGCCGACTGAGTACACCACTGGTCGCAACTGGGAGGCTGCTGACTTCAACCAATCTTATCCCGAGGATCTGAAGCAGAAGGTGTTGGACAACTGGACGAAGATGGGTTTCAGCAACTAACCAGACCTCTCGTCTTGAGACTGATTTGTATAAATGTCGCAAGTACATGCAAAATATAATACTTCGAACACCGAAGTAAATACATATTGTTATCATTCTTCCACCCTCCACGCTACTGTTTATCGTACGCAAGTAAAAAATTAACATGGTATATAAACATATTTAAGTCCCTAGATTTTCAAATACAACTAAACTTAGGGGGTGGGACCAGTGGGGGGTGAATTATTTCCATACTAAATAACATTTGGGGGCTAGTGTATTGTTACTACTCGCAGTACTATGATCTCCCGCATCGGCTAAGTCTCCAGAATATATATATATATAATTTTATCCATTTCATGGCAGCCTGCAGAAAGATTTCCTCCACAGTTTCAAATTCCAACGCAATAGGCCATCCCTAAGTCAACCATTCTTTTCATACACATTACCATTTCATTAGAGTTTGTACCCCAAATTGGCTTCATACCAATTGCTGACTCATCTCGGAACCGAGGTGCCGATCAGATCCGCCGCTTCGACGCTCTGCGCGACCAACGTGACTATATCAACCTATACCCCAAGAAAGAAGCAAAATAGTTCCGCAAAATCCTTCCAGAAAGTATGAGCTTTTGAGGTTCCGACACACCGGTAGTAGAATTATGGGCACCCCGATAAATCGTGAAGAGATTGACCGCGTGCTGCGAATGAAACGCAATCAGCGCGAGGCTCGAGCGTGTTATCCTTGCCGCCAGCGCAAGGTGAAATGCGACAGCACTCAGCCGTGTCGAACATGTCGCCGACGAGGCCATCCCCAAATATGTGTGTATGACCAAGATTCGTCTGGGTCTAAAAAGGCTCGTAGCACCGGCCAAAGACGTTCCTCTGCTGCTTCTCGTGGAACAAATCAGACACCAACCGCCGAGCAGGCATTCGATGCCGAACCACAATCTCTGCCCTCAGCGCGCAGTTTACCAGAAGTCCAGCCAAAAACAAGACAGTACTATAGTACTCGAATCCCGTCTTCCGATGGCCCCGATAATGATCTTATCTACTCGGGCGACAACTCGGTATTGTCTTATTTGCGCAACCGGACGCAAGATACCAATGGCTCCATGACCCGTGAGGTGGGCTCTGTTCTAGGCCTGCAAAATACCTACGGCAGTTATCCATTTATGGACTTTCGGACACCCCAGGACCGGTGGAAGGAGCTTCTACGTATTATTCCGCAGCGAGCGGAACTGTTGAAGTAAGCACATCTTATTGTTGTTTTTGATAACCTCTAACGGATAGCAGGTTCTTCCATTTCTACAGAATATCAGCTTACCCTTTCAATCCGATCATACTTGACATTGAGAGATTTGAGCAAGATGTGTGTTCATACCTCAATGATCTTGCAGCAGGAGAGCTGCAGAACACTTCAAAGATTTGCGAACGTTGGGCCACTGATCGGTCTGTCGGGCTGATCAGCCTGCTACTTGCGGCCTTGGCTTCCGGTGCGCATTATTCTGACCTGGATTACATGCAAAGAACAGAGCTATGCCAGGATTTTGGTACGTAACCAGTATCTTTACCTATGCATGTTTGACTAAACAGGAGAAGCAAAACGATCCTTTCAAGCTCTTCGACTAGCCAATTTTCTTTTCCGTCCGACGATGGATATAATACAAGCACTTCTAATCATAGGAAACACTCTGCAAAACAATGGCCAGTCTGATGCAGCATGGGTTTTGTTAGGGACAACAGTCCGTCTCGCGCAGACATTAGGTCTTCACACAGAAAAGAGTGTAGCACGCCTACCGGATCATGTCAAATACAAAGCACGAAAGCTATGGTACATAAACCATGCTACAGGTAACGACACAAGCTGACGCGGCTACAGGTACACTGTCGTTTGGCAAGATTGCCTGCTCTGTTTATGTTACGACCGGCCTCGCGTAGTCTCTATGACCGGGTGGGCTCCAGATTATTCAATCCTCTCGAGCAGCGAACTATCTTTCACAGAAGCTATGTATTTTCTATGCCAAACTGCCTTAAATATGATCACAACAGACGGACCGGAGATATCGGAAAATGCGCGACAGCTTGACATTTTGGCCACGATTGATAGCCTCAACCAACGCACTCAGCCATATCTGCGTGACCGCCAGGAATGCAAAACCCTCCAACACAATCTGGAGCACCTGGCGTTACGAATGCACATGTCTCTAGTTATTTCCGTCCTGACACGTCCAGCACTGAAGCGCACTGTAATGCAAGACGCGTCCTATGACATCTTGCGCACCCGCGCCAAATTGAGCCTGATCGACGCCTCTAGGGCCTTTTTGGATTTTCAGGCTCTGAGTGTGGTACCCCTCCGAAGCTGGTCAATGGTGCACACGGTGCTTAGTTCCACTTTACTTCTCTGCATTTGGGAGGAGACCCGAAACGATCCCGAGTGTCGTGATTTACAGCAAAAGGTGATTGAGGTCTTTTCTGCCGCTGGCACAGTGGGCACAGTGGAGAACACAGCATCGGAGAATGGGCAATGGCTATCGGAACGGCATATACGAGCGCTAATCACACTGCGCAATTCGGTCCGAACGGCAGTCGAACGTGAAAAGGGGGAGGCAAGCGTTGGGACAGAACGCGCGGAGCAGCCCCAGCCTTTTTTTCCTGTCTATGGGTATGTGCACCCGCTATTGTCTGATAAGTGGAGCTGTGCGATGGATGCTGATTTTGCAGTATGCCGAACGGGATCCCGGATGACTTCGGTCAAGACTTCTCACCAGCAAGCTATCTTGACTCCATTATGAACGGTATGCTGAGGCTCCCGACTATTTATCGATCGAACTAACCGTCGTAGTACCCATGTTTGACTTATCCCAAGAGCTGGGTTTTCTTTGAGCTATCCATGACGTTATGCGGCCCCTCGGGAACGGTATTCGGTGGTTCGGAGGCCTCGGACTAAACGGCAAAACGGGGCCACACCAAGATTGACCATAACGCAGGGAAGGGTCCGAAGAGAAATCGAACCCAGCAAAAAGCTTTCAACTCAGGGACTTACTGTAGCTACCGGGTTGCCACTGGGCTATATATATACTTGACAGTCCAGCTTCCTGACGGCTACCATTGCAGTCCATACAGTCCATACATCCAGACAAAGCAACCCACAACGGGAACTTTCAGTCTACGCAATTGTGCCTACCACAACACTACATATTCCACATCAACACATATGTTCAACTCACTTCTATCCGGTACTACTACACCAAACTCCGGCCGTGCATCTCCTCCCGCCAGCGAAATGCCCATCGATAATGATCACGTGGCCGTTGCCCGTCCAGCTCCCCGCCGCCGCCGCATTGTAGTAGCCATGACGGGTGCCACTGGAGCCATGCTCGGCATCAAAGTCCTAATTGCTCTGCGCCGTCTAAATGTGGAGACACACCTGGTGATGAGTAAATGGGCGGAGGCTACGATCAAATACGAGACTGACTACCATCCCTCAAACGTGCGAGCGCTGGCCGACTACGTGCACAACATCAATGACATGGCCGCCCCAGTATCCAGCGGCTCATTCCGCGCGGACGGAATGATTGTGGTACCGTGCAGCATGAAAACATTGGCTGCTATCCACTCGGGCTTTTGCGACGATCTCATTTCAAGGACAGCAGATGTGATGCTCAAGGAGCGCAGGCGGTTGGTGCTAGTAGCGCGGGAGACGCCATTGAGCGAGATCCATCTGCGAAACATGTTGGAGGTTACACGCGCTGGGGCAGTCATCTTCCCCCCAGTACCGGCGTTCTACATCAAGGCCGGAAGTATCGAGGACCTCATCGACCAGAGTGTTGGACGAATGTTGGATTTATTTGACCTCGACACGGGGGATTTTGAACGTTGGAATGGATGGGAAAAATAAGTTTTCAATTTGGACTGAATTTTGGCGGCATTTCTTGTATAAAATTAAAAGGGGCGTTGACTGGATTTTGGTACTTGGGATTTATTCTTAGCTTTGACTGTACATAGTTTGGGCGTGGTTTGATAGCCGACGATCGGCCGACCCACGAACCAGATTTGCATATGATTACATTCCTTCAATTTTGGTCCGAGTCCCAACCCGCCTTTCAACCCCAACAACTACAAGCACGTTGTGTTTGCTACATTGACTCACTCGATATTGCTGAACCATGCAGGCCGCCCAACTGAGTTATTACACCAAGCATGCGAATCGGAAAGTTCGACAAAGCGGGTGAAATGTCCGAGTTGGCGAACCAAAGCGCAACGGTCGAGGCTCCTTTCCCCGCAGAGGCAGCCATTCTGCAGCCTTTGAACTGCGGGGGAAACGGCATTTGATCAACTCGGCACTGATGCAGTGACCAACAGGATGTTAGCAATGTTGGCCTAATATATTCTTACTGATCTGCTGATACGTCCCTCCCTTGCATCAGCCTCGGTTTGCGCATGAGAACGGGTTCGAACGTTCCTGGGCCACCCGGTTGGCGTGATATTCTCCGCCCACGCTGTCTGTCCCCCTGATGGGAAACCTTCGGATCAGCGATCATCAGGCCAGTTGGCTATGAGAATAGGGGCTTTGCTGTCTTGATGCCTAAAATGCAGGTCTCATAGCAAGATCCACAGCCGAGGAGGCACATGGCGATGTCGAAACCCATGGGAGCTGATTTTTCGGTTCTCGGATCGTGCTCCAAGACATAGAAGGATATTGAGCACTTGAAACGAAGGGGTGAAAAATGGAACTGTATATAGAGTTACTCCCAGCCCGATCCGAGAGCCTATGACCCATAGCGGTACAGATCATGGCCATCATGAAGGCCCTCCTTTGGCTCTCCCTTTCCCTCGCCGTCTGGGCGACTCCAGTTCAACGGGATGCAGCTCCTACTGTCACTATTGCGCATCCATCGGCCACCGTCATTGGAAAATCTGGCAATGTCGAGAGCTTCAACAATATTCCCTTTGCGCAGGCCCCCACAGGCTCGCTGCGTCTGAAGCCCCCACAACCCTTGGAAACTGCCCTCGGCACTGTTCAGGCCACAGGAGCCTCGCAATCGTGTCCGCAGATGTACTTCACCACGGATGAGAGCGAATTCCCGACATCGGTCATTGGCCTCCTCGCTGATCTCCCTTTGGTACAGTCGGCTACCAATGCTCTCGAGGATTGCCTGAACATTGACATTCGGCGTCCGGCCGGGACCACCGCGGACTCGAAGCTGCCTGTGCTGGTCTGGATCTTTGGCGGAGGCTTTGAACTTGGTTCAAAGGCGATGTATGATGGTACAACGATGGTATCATCGTCGATAGACAAGAACATGCCTATCGTGTTTGTAGCAATGAATTATCGCGTGGGAGGTTTCGGGTTCTTGCCCGGAAAGGAGATCCTGGAGGACGGGTCCGCGAACCTAGGGCTCCTGGACCAACGCCTTGCCCTGCAGTGGGTTGCCGACAACATCGAGGCCTTTGGTGGAGACCCGGACAAGGTGACGATTTGGGGAGAATCAGCAGGAGCCATTTCCGTTTTTGATCAGATGATCTTGTACGACGGAAACATCACTTACAAGGATAAGCCCTTGTTCCGGGGGGCCATCATGGACTCCGGTAGTGTTGTTCCCGCAGACCCCGTCGATGGGGTCAAGGGACAGCAAGTATATGATGCGGTAGTGGAATCTGCAGGCTGTTCCTCTTCTAACGACACCCTAGCTTGTCTGCGTGAACTAGACTACACCGACTTCCTCAATGCGGCAAACTCCGTGCCAGGCATTTTAAGCTACCATTCTGTGGCGTTATCATATGTGCCTCGACCGGACGGGACGGCGTTGTCGGCATCACCGGACGTTTTGGGCAAAGCAGGGAAATATGCTCGGGTCCCGTTCATCGTGGGCGACCAAGAGGATGAGGGGACCTTATTCGCCTTGTTTCAGTCCAACATTACGACGATCGACGAGGTGGTCGACTACCTGGCCTCATACTTCTTCTATGACGCTAGCCGAGAGCAGCTTGAAGAACTAGTGGCCCTGTACCCAGACACCACCACGTACGGGTCTCCGTTCAGGACAGGCGCGGCCAACAACTGGTATCCGCAATTTAAGCGATTGGCCGCCATTCTCGGCGACTTGGTCTTCACCATTACCCGGCGGGCATTCCTCTCGTATGCAGAGGAAATCTCCCCTGATCTTCCGAACTGGTCGTACCTGGCGACCTATGACTATGGCACCCCAGTTCTGGGGACCTTCCACGGAAGTGACCTGCTGCAGGTGTTCTATGGGATCAAGCCAAACTATGCAGCTAGTTCTAGCCACACGTACTATCTGAGCTTTGTGTATACGCTGGATCCGAACTCCAACCGGGGGGAGTACATTGAGTGGCCGCAGTGGAAGGAATCGCGGCAGTTGATGAATTTCGGAGCGAACGACGCCAGTCTCCTTACGGATGATTTCCGCAACGGGACATATGAGTTCATCCTGCAGAATACCGCGGCGTTCCACATCTGATGCCATTGGCGGAGGGGTCCGGACGGTCAGGAACTTAGCCTTATGAGATGAATGATGGACGTGTCTGGCCTCGGAAAAGGATATATGGGGATCATGATAGTACTAGCCATATTAATGAAGGGCATATACCACGCGTTGGACCTGCGTTATAGCTTCCCGTTAGTTATAGTACCATCGTTATACCAGCCAATCAAGTCACCACGCACGACCGGGGACGGCGAATCCCCGGGAATTGAAAGAAATTGCATCCCAGGCCAGTGAGGCCAGCGATTGGCCACCTCTCCAAGGCACAGGGCCATTCTGCAGCGCTGGTGGATTCATCGCAATTTCCCCCGGCCCGGCCCGACACCGCTATAGGCTGGTTCTCCCACACCATCGGAGATTCGTCGCCTAATGTCTCGTCCGTTCACAAGCTGAAGAGCTTGAAGTGGCGAGATGTCTCTGCAGGAATTCAAGCTAGATGCTAAGCGATATTGCATGGCAATATGTGTTGATGCATGTGCTTCTTCCTTCAGCTTCCCCTCGTGCAGATGAGGTTTGGCTATAAATTGAAGTGGTTGGTCGGGGTTCCGTGAGGGGCTGAAGTGCTTCCTCCCTTTTAGACGCAACTGAGAGCCTGAGCTTCATCCCCAGCATCATTACACCTCAGCAATGTCGTTCCGATCTCTACTCGCCCTGAGCGGCCTCGTCTGCACAGGGTTGGCAAATGTGATTTCCAAGCGCGCGACCTTGGATTCATGGTTGAGCAACGAAGCGACCGTGGCTCGTACTGCCATCCTGAATAACATCGGGGCGGACGGTGCTTGGGTGTCGGGCGCGGACTCTGGCATTGTCGTTGCTAGTCCCAGCACGGATAACCCGGACTGTATGTTTCGAGCTCAGATTTAGTATGAGTGTGTCATTGATTGATTGATGCTGACTGGCGTGTCGTTTGTTGTAGACTTCTACACCTGGACTCGCGACTCTGGTCTCGTCCTCAAGACCCTCGTCGATCTCTTCCGAAATGGAGATACCAGTCTCCTCTCCACCATTGAGAACTACATCTCCGCCCAGGCAATTGTCCAGGGTATCAGTAACCCCTCTGGTGATCTGTCCAGCGGCGCTGGTCTCGGTGAACCCAAGTTCAATGTCGATGAGACTGCCTACACTGGTTCTTGGGGACGGCCGCAGCGAGATGGTCCGGCTCTGAGAGCAACTGCTATGATCGGCTTCGGGCAGTGGCTGCTTGTATGTTCTCCACCCCCTTGCGTCTGATCTGTGACATATGTAGCTGACTGGTCAGGACAATGGCTACACCAGCACCGCAACGGACATTGTTTGGCCCCTCGTTAGGAACGACCTGTCGTATGTGGCTCAATACTGGAACCAGACAGGATATGGTGTGTTTGTTTTATTTTAAATTTCCAAAGATGCGCCAGCAGAGCTAACCCGCGATCGCAGATCTCTGGGAAGAAGTCAATGGCTCGTCTTTCTTTACGATTGCTGTGCAACACCGCGCCCTTGTCGAAGGTAGTGCCTTCGCGACGGCCGTCGGCTCGTCCTGCTCCTGGTGTGATTCTCAGGCACCCGAAATTCTCTGCTACCTGCAGTCCTTCTGGACCGGCAGCTTCATTCTGGCCAACTTCGATAGCAGCCGTTCCGGCAAGGACGCAAACACCCTCCTGGGAAGCATCCACACCTTTGATCCTGAGGCCGCATGCGACGACTCCACCTTCCAGCCCTGCTCCCCGCGCGCGCTCGCCAACCACAAGGAGGTTGTAGACTCTTTCCGCTCAATCTATACCCTCAACGATGGTCTCAGTGACAGCGAGGCTGTTGCGGTGGGTCGGTACCCTGAGGACACGTACTACAACGGCAACCCGTGGTTCCTGTGCACCTTGGCTGCCGCAGAGCAGTTGTACGATGCTCTATACCAGTGGGACAAGCAGGGGTCGTTGGAGGTCACAGATGTGTCGCTGGACTTCTTCAAGGCACTGTACAGCGATGCTGCTACTGGCACCTACTCTTCGTCCAGTTCGACTTATAGTAGCATTGTAGATGCCGTGAAGACTTTCGCCGATGGCTTCGTCTCTATTGTGGTAAGTCTACGCTAGACAAGCGCTCATGTTGACAGAGGGTGCGTACTAACAGAAGTAGGAAACTCACGCCGCAAGCAACGGCTCCATGTCCGAGCAATACGACAAGTCTGATGGCGAGCAGCTTTCCGCTCGCGACCTGACCTGGTCTTATGCTGCTCTGCTGACCGCCAACAACCGTCGTAACTCCGTCGTGCCTGCTTCTTGGGGCGAGACCTCTGCCAGCAGCGTGCCCGGCACCTGTGCGGCCACATCTGCCATTGGTACCTACAGCAGTGTGACTGTCACCTCGTGGCCGAGTATCGTGGCTACTGGCGGCACCACTACGACGGCTACCCCCACTGGATCCGGCAGCGTGACCTCGACCAGCAAGACCACCGCGACTGCTAGCAAGACCAGCACCAGTACGTCATCAACCTCCTGTACCACTCCCACCGCCGTGGCTGTGACTTTCGATCTGACAGCTACCACCACCTACGGCGAGAACATCTACCTGGTCGGATCGATCTCTCAGCTGGGTGACTGGGAAACCAGCGACGGCATAGCTCTGAGTGCTGACAAGTACACTTCCAGCGACCCGCTCTGGTATGTCACTGTGACTCTGCCGGCTGGTGAGTCGTTTGAGTACAAGTTTATCCGCATTGAGAGCGATGACTCCGTGGAGTGGGAGAGTGATCCCAACCGAGAATACACCGTTCCTCAGGCGTGCGGAACGTCGACCGCGACGGTGACTGACACCTGGCGGTAGACAATCAATCCATTTCGCTATAGTTAAAGGATGGGGATGAGGGCAATTGGTTATATGATCATGTATGTAGTGGGTGTGCATAATAGTAGTGAAATGGAAGCCAAGTCATGTGATTGTAATCGACCGACGGAATTGAGGATATCCGGAAATACAGACACCGTGAAAGCCATGGTCTTTCCTTCGTGTAGAAGACCAGACAGACAGTCCCTGATTTACCCTTGCACAAAGCACTAGAAAATTAGCATTCCATCCTTCTCTGCTTGCTCTGCTGATATCACTGTCATTCAATGCATAGCCATGAGCTCATCTTAGATCCAAGCACGTAATTCCATAGCCGAGGTCCACAGTGGAGCAGCAACATTCCCCATCATTGCTTTCCCCAGGGGCCTCCCAACGACTAAATCAAGAGTATATCTCTACCGTCCAATAGATCGTCTTCGCTTCAAAATCTTTGACAATTCCAAGAGGGTCCCCATCCATCAAACCCAGTTCAATAATAGCCGAGATGCATGGTGGAGTCAATTAGGCAGTATTGCTGGAATGTCGGGGCCAGTTGGCCCGGTGGTCATTGGCCGCCTGTGATGCCATCTGCCACTAAATCCGATCATTGATCCACCGCCCACGAGGCGCGTCTTTGCTTTTTGCGCGGCGTCCAGGTTCAACTCTCTCTGCAGCTCCAGTCCAACGCTGACTGACTAGTTTACCTACTGGTCTGATCGGCTCCATCAGAGCTATGGCGTTATCCCGTGCCGTTGCTGCGCAATCGCTATCTTGATCGCAACCTTGAACTCACTCTTGTTTTAATAGTGATCTTGGTGACGGAGTGTCGGTGAGTGACAACCAACATCGTGCAAGGGAGATTGATACGGAATTGTCGCTCCCATCATGATGTTCTTGCCGGCTTTGTTGGCCCTATTCGTGGGATGCGATGCCCTCGCTGTGCAGCAGCAGGTACTGCTGGATGAGGAGCCATCGGTCTCTGCACGCAAACCCAACTTCCTCTTCATTCTCACGGATGATCAGGATCTCCGGATGAATTCTCCGGCGTATATGCCGTATACGCAGGCGAGAATCAAGGAAAAGGGTACCGAGTTCTTGAACCATTTCGTCACTACCGCGCTTTGCTGTCCGTCGCGCGTGAGTCTTTGGACGGGAAGACAGGCTCATAATACTAATGTGACGGATGTGAACCCGCCTTATGGTATGGACACTGCTTCGATCGGTCTTGATTCTTCAGCGTGGTTACAATTGCTAATGCGGCATAGGCGGATACCCCAAATTCGTCGCTCAAGGCTTCAACGAAAACTTCCTCCCCGTTTGGCTGCAGTCCGCCGGTTACAATACCTACTACACGGGGAAGCTGTTCAACTCGCACAGTGTCGCTACCTATAACGCGCCCTTTGTGAACGGTTTCAATGGCTCCGACTTCCTCCTCGACCCCCACACATATTCCTACTGGAATGCGACATACCAGCGAAACCATGAGCCTCCGCGGAGTTACGAGGGACAATATACTACGGATGTGATGAAGGAGAAGGCATCGGGATTGTTGGCAGATGCGCTGGACAGTGACGCGCCATTCTTCCTGACGGTCGCGCCGATCGCACCGCACACGAACATCGATGTGGAGGGGCTGAGCGGTGCGGGTGGACCGAAGATGACAGAGCCGCTGCCTGCACCGAGACATGCGCATTTGTTTGCTGATGCAAAGGTGCCGCGGACGCCTAATTTCAATCCGGACAAGGTGTGTGATATCCTGACACAGTGGTGGGGACGGGCACTGACAAGAGTAGGATTCTGGTGCGGGGTGGATCCAAACCATGGAACTACAGAACCAGACCGTCATCGACTACGAAGACCATCTTTATCGCCAGCGTCTGCGCACTTTGCAAGCCGTCGATGAGATGGTGGATGCGCTGATCACGCAGCTGGAAGAAAGTGGGCAGATCGACAATACCTACATCATTTACAGTGCTGATAACGGCTACCACATTGGCCATCACCGTCTACCCCCCGGCAAGACAACTGGCTATGAAGAGGACATTCGCGTACCATTCTACATTCGCGGACCTGGCATTCCTGAGGGAAAGAGCGTTGACCGTGTAACCACGCACATTGACATTGCACCTACACTGTTCGAGTTGGCTGGGGTTCCCTTGCGAGAGGACTTTGACGGG